CCATGCAGACAGTAGTGCAGCACAATTGAAGCTTATTTGAACTTGTTTGAATTGAGGAGTTCGCTAAGACGTTCACCTCGAGACTGTTCTTTGAGCTATGATTGAGACATATTTTCACAGTGTCGGCTGCCAGCCACTTCACGCTCCTGTTGACTTGTTGCCACCGACTAGTGATTGTTACCAGGGAGGCCCGAGCCCACCGTGACCCTGGCCCCGGTCGGGGTCACGGGGCGGCTCCCGCCGCCGTCAGCTCGAGTAGTTCATTTTACCGGTTCTTCATTCATGGCCCGGGTGAACCCACGCTTCTTGAAGTTCTATTCAGCTCAGATGTTCGAGCTTCAAAAGCTGACGGCTCGCCGCGCGTGGCCCTGAAGTGTCCGTCGGAGGTGTGCCAGGAGACTAATTTTTGCGTTGACAAGCTCGGAGCGCCGCCCTCTCGTTCTCCCAATCCTGCGACCAGGATGTGAGATAATGATACGTCTGTGAGACGTTCCTTCGGTGGTCCTTCACCGTCACAATAGATCGGGCTATGTTTGTGCTGGAGCGTCTCGTCCTGACCTGACCCTGAACTGAGATTTCGATCACAGAACTGCGAAGTTTTTTGGTCGATACAGAAACTGCCAACATATGTCCTTGGGGTCAGGACGCTTGTAAATGTGTGCCTGATGTTGATATCGCCTTCACCATCTAGCACTCACTCAACAACCAGATTATGCACCGGACAACGAGCGCTGTTTCTTGATTGAATTGTTCCTTGGTGAATGCGGATTGATTGCACGTATCCATGCAAGTGCACGGCCAGTCCTCGGCCCACTGACTCAGTGCGTTATCTCGGTCCGGCGGTGACACCTCAAGGCCCCGGGCCATCGCACACCCTGTGCCGTGCCGTGCCGTGCACCTGGCCTGCCACTCGGTGCTCGGGGTGGACACCGGAGCGAGACGTCGCCACGGCCGCGGCCTCCGCCTGCGCGGAAACGCGAGTCCCGTCGGCGAACAGCGCGTGTAAGGCGCCGCGCTACCGTCCGGCCTGCCGACCCGTATTTGGCGGCTGGTGTGCCGCGGTCGGCTCCTGTGCCAAAACTGGACAGCTGAGTCGCGTGCTGACTCGGGCATATGACAGGGCGGTGATATGCGGTGGGAAAATGTTGCAGTGGCTGAACCGCTTCGATGATAAATTTACGTTTTGCATAACTGTTTCGACAACGAGCCCACCGTTCAAACTAGCGCCTTCCCACGGACAAGATATCTTGCTCATGGTAATTATTTAAAAGAAAACCTATCTGCTGGAGTTCTTACTTGACATAATTGCTGAATCACATGATTTACATCGCAACGTTACAATACGATATGGAAATTTTCATGTTTATGTGTTACCAGCTTGGTCAGAATTTTAGTTCGTGATCGACCAAACTGACGTTATCTCATGAGACTTTTGATAGATCACGGCTTATCTGACCTTATCGCTGTGATCTGTCTCCGTGAGCTGGCCGCAGTCAATGTGGAATGTCTCTGTTTGTCTGTCTGTCTGTCGGGCCGCTCTGTGACCCTGCGACCGCCCGCCCTCAGTCCCCGAGTTGTTGTGTTGTCTCCTTACGAGTATGCGGCGCCCATCAGTCCCCGTTTGTGTGTTGTCTCCTTATGCGGCGCCGACTGCGTCCGGTGCCCGTTCTGCGGTTCGGCCGTCCCGCGCCGCCGCCGCCAACAGCCAGAGGTCGGCGTTTGCTCCCGGAACCGCCCCGCCCCGCCCCCGCCCCCGCCCCCGCCCTCGCCCTTCGACTGAGGGCGGCCCACGCCCCGGGAGGTCACCTGGAAGTGGAGCTGTCTGAGTCGATTGGACTGTGGTTAGGTGGTGCATTTTGCCGAGTCGTGAATTCATTAATGATTCTTTGGCGTGTCTGGTTCCATGCCGTGCCGTGGTCGTTCGGCTGCCGGAAAGAAATGCAATAAATCATTGGGTATGCACAATATCAATATCCATTGTAGTCAAATGTCAAACTAACGTGACTTTTTCATATCAGATGTGCCGATTACTCAGTGCCACATTTTACAGCTCTATCATCAATATGCTTGAACAAGCAAATCAAAAGGCGACGACGCTTCAATTTATCTTTAATTGTCAAAGCGGTTCATCAATTTGTCTATAATGGACGTTATCATGCCTACCGATATCGTGAGAAATCCTGATAGCTGCCGACTTCCGCGATCGATTCACCCAATTATTGCTTCATTGAATTTCACTGCAGAAATGTAAGAGTGAAGAAGTGCACTTTTCCTGTAGCCACTATTCAAATGCTCTGAATTCAATAGCGCTGATTGAGCACATACCCTTGACCAGATTGCAGCTCACTCCTGCTGTAGTGGTCTCACCGTAGTGGTCTCTCTGCACTCGTGCTGATGCGACTCATTACAACCCCGTCTAAATCATCGCTAAGAGTCGAAGCGTTCATCGATAGCCTCAGATAAGGGCGCCGACTGGTGCCGAGGGCTGTCTTCAGAGCTCGTCAGCCGGTATTGAGTCGTGCACGCCGACACGTTGGAGTAGGCCGCCTGCCGAGCGGTGCTGAATACTACGCTGTTACGGTGATAATAGGCAGCGAGAGTGTCCAACTACGGGGCGTGAGATAGGATGGATCGTGCCGGTAATGGCTTGTAACTGTCCAGCTTTTTATTATTTGCATACTGCCCCGCCTTGAACTGAACTATGTAGCTCATAGCGCTCGCTTTCCTGAGGCTCGCTCCTTTTGGGTTAGCTCCCTTCACAGACCTGTCTGGCTCCAGTGCTCCCCGACCCAGCTACCGTGCTGCCTCTCGCAGCTCCCCTACCGCCGGCCTACCGGGTTCTCAGCTGCTCCGCCGGCCGCTGTTTCGGGCCGCTACCTCCGTCAGCAGTCTCTCCGGCAGTCCCTGAGGGGCTGGGGGCTCCGTCATCATCCCCAACCACCGTGTCGGCGACCGCCGCCGGGCCGTGGTTACCGTAGCTCGGTACGCCCGCGGCGGTCGACGGGACTATCCTGGACGGATTCCGGCGTGCTGGGGTTTCCCTCGGTCCGAGAGGCACGCACGCCGCCACCGGAATGCCCGGCCTCAAAGGGACGAGCACGCTTGGGAAGCATGGTCATTTGGGGTGTGACTGTGTGGCTCAGGCGGCTGATACCATGACCATAGCAGGCTTCACTGCTGAGTGCTGAATGTTTGGATGGAATACGGTGGTGACTGTGACTACCTCTGCTAGTCTAAAAAACAACGCTCATGCGCTCGGGTCAAATGATTTGGTTGCGTCCGTTAATTCCCTATGGATGTCACAGTGGATAGCTATTGCATTACAACCCGCAACTTACAAAACATACACAACCCTTCATCTTCTGCACTGACATTTACAAAGCCGACTTACCTATTATGGCACAAACACGTCTAGTCCAGCTTATCTTATCATTGGTGACGAATTTGCATCAGGCTTACGATGTTTTATCTGCTTCAAGTGATTTCCTCAAACTTTGGCGAAAGTGGCATTCCCTGTCTGGCTTAAGACTTGCTTCCCGTTGTCCTTCACCTGGTTTTGTATTTTAGCGACGTTGTGGATGTGCTGGCAATCCAGAGAAGACACAAAATAAACGTTGTTTTTTATTAGTTTGAAGGTGAGCCACCATGTCATCGTCTCCTTTTTATATATTGAACTGGGACTTGAGGCGCTTGCATTGTGGTCGACGTCAGCGATAAACTTTTTACCAACAGGTCCAGTGATTTTTATTATACCTGATATTGCCTACAGAGTTTTCCTGGAATGATGATCGTTATCTCTGGTCGTTTACGATGATGACGCTATCAAATATAGCTGACGGTTAACCAGCAAAAATGCGCCACATTCTTCTCAGTTTCACTTTCAGCAAAGTGGAAAGCCACGACTACCATTTGATCGTGGCGTAACTGCCCGTTCCTTGTCACCATTATGGCGGAAAAGCAGTTCCTAAAACTTGTCGGAGGAACGGGAAGCTGGCTTTGTCCAAATGAAGCATTGAGCGGTCCGTTACGACCTTGTCCAACGGTGCCGAATTTCAGCCACGGCAGCTGTGAGTGATGTTTACTCACCTGCTTAGTATCGTCAATGGGTGTTACATAAATTGAGGAATGCCGTTGTGTCGTGTGCAAGTGACTACTGCTTCCTCTTCTGTAGAACTATGTGGCTTTTGTGTCCTCCCCCGCCCCACCCCCGCACCCATGAGGTGGTCTGGCGTGGCTGGGATGCCTCCCCCATGAGCCGAGGTCGCCCTGTCGACGGCAGACGCTCCACTGGAGGACAGAGAGGAACAATAGGTGACCGTGTACGCGGCCGGCGCCTCGCCGAATGCCGCGCGATCATGTACGCATTCACGGAGAATTCCTGCGTTTGTTCGACGGGATCGGGCGCCGCTCCGCTCTGGCTCCTGCCGTTATACAATGACGCACAACGACCTTGTCCTAGTGATCGGCTTCGGTAGCGATAGTTCCGTTAGCCGTTTTCTTTTAGTTCGATGTCTGCCAGTCGGCACCTGCATATTTGACGGGGTTCCGCAGAATGGTGAAATGAATCGTGCCCGATCGGGACTTACTTCCAGCATTCCTGACCTGTACATTTTAATGCCTGCCTCAGGGCTGCGGTCTCCGACACGTGTCATTGTGAAACTTGTACACGAGCATCGGAAAGGTTTTCCGGGTTAATCGGCTCGCCGCAACGTGCGAGGGTACCCACTTAATGTTAGGTTAGGCTAACCAACGCCTTGATGACGACATGTAAGGAAGCTCCAAGTTGTCGGTGATCCTTTTTATATGTATCACTAATCATGCTTAAAGTAGTGTTGTGATGAAGCAGCCGCTGATAATTTTTTCCTTATTACACTTATAATTATGTATGTAACTTTTGATATTGTTTTATCGTAATGCGCTGGTTGTTATGGTATTTGCTGTCTGATTGACTCGGTGTAACTGTGAACGTCTTGTGACCGTATTTGTTCTTCTTCCCGCAGCTGCGCGTGCCTCTGCCGATCGTGTGCAAGTCGCGGGACCTGATCGTGGACATGCAGCGGCGGCACCTGAAGGTCTCTCTGAAGGGCCACCCGGCCATCATCGACGGCCGGCTCGACCACGAGATCAAGGTGGAGGAGTCCACCTGGCTGCTCGAGGACAAGCGCTCCCTGCTCATCCACATGGAGAAGGTGGGTCCGCTGGGAACTGAGACAGGTGTTCTGTTCGGGCCGATGTAGTGTGATAGGGTAATAATTTCCTCCAAAACGCTAGTTCACAGATAACAGTAGTAACACAGATATAACACAGATAACACAGATAACAGTGGCTAGTTCTAAAATGTATTCGCATTTACAAAGACACTGCTGGCTGAACAGTGAAACACCCTATCCACGCAGTTCTCCCCGTGGTTATCCCTCGGCTGTTAGTCGGCTGGCTTTCCCCCGTCAGATAGATGGATATTTTGCCGTAAGTGACCGCGGGGGTTTTGCTCGTCCGACCGTCTCGGCTGCGTCCTCTAAACACGAGGTAACGGCGAACAGAGGACGTCGCTCCCCTTTCTGCGGTTTCCGCCAACACAAGAAATACACACTGTCTGGAACGTGTCTGACGTGAAATCCACCGCCAACGACGCTGTCGGGAGTTTTTGCTCTGCCCCCAGACAATTCGTATCGCTAGAACCGAGCGTTCACGGGCTCACGAATCTTTGATGTCCCCTAATGGAGCAGTGATTTACGAACATTGTGGTTTTTGTGAACAGCGCGCAGTTCTGCCGGGAATTTCCCCGTTTCCTCTTATCCTCAATAACCGACCACCTATAAGTGATGTCGCTCAAGATGCGCCTGGTGTCTGTAAATTATGCCTATCTGTACTATGGCTTGGGTTTGCCATTGTGGCATTCCCTGTCTACTGTCTAGGGCGATATTGTTGTTGGTAATTATACAAAAAATCGAATGTGCTACTGGCTCCAGACACCATTGACTTTGACTCCGGTTTGACCTGACATAACTGCGTCACCGTCAATGCTGCCCTTGAACCTGCCTCGCGCAGGGTCATCGGTCTCCGTCTCGGCTTCCATGCCAGAAGGTCACTTCAGTAATGCGATTGCAGCCTGCCTGCTCCCCGAGTAGCCATTACGTGATAGGACTAGCCGTATCGTCCTGCACCGTCAGCTGGAATGTCTTCAGACGCAGCTGCATATAATTACGGAGGTCGTTCGGCACTCTTGCCCAATCCTCAGTAGTTCCAGTTACGGTTGACGCAGGGAATGCGAGGACGACAGGGCGCTGAGGTTCCTCAGGAGCTGCCGCCGTCTCAAAGTCGTCGTCCGTGTCCCCGAAGCTGCCGCTCTCGGATTCCTGTTCTATCGTCGCTGTGTCCAGTGATGAACGATGACAGGTGGGCGGCAGATCGGTCCCGGCCGCGGCGGTCGGTGGCCGGTAATGGGACCCAGTTAGTGTCTCTCTGTGTCGACTCGCAGTGGCAGCGGTGTGGGCAGACCAGAAGTGACCAGCCGTAGTCTCCTGGTGATTATCAGACTGCAGTGCATATGTCCAGATCGACTTAGTCTGGTGTTGCGTGGGGAGCAAAGCAAGAACTTCCGTTGGCTCGTTTGCAAACACCAAGCACCATTTTTGAGTGCAGACTGCAGCGAGATCGGCCACAAATAACTCGGGAAGCCACCGCTCTTGAGCAACTTCTCGCCATTCTGAAAGTCCGGGTCATTCTCCGCTGCCATTCCGAACATTCAGACTGTTCTCGGGTATGATCAAACCTTGTTTGGCGGGATGACTCATCGAGGGGTTTTACTCGGTTCGATGTCCGCAGTTCCCTCCGTGTCTGACCAGAGGAATGCACTTCTTCCGCCCGGAGAAGCCTAGTTGCCTGGTGCCCTCCTGCAGCGGTGGATGACCTCTGCGGTCAGCGAGGTGACCTCTGTGGTCAGCGAGGTGACCTCTGCGGCCAGCGAGATGGCCTCTGTGGTCAGTGAGATGACCTCTGCGGCCAGCGAGATGACCTCTAGTGGAAGGACGTAGCGCCGGCCATCTCCCCCCGCTCGTCATCTGTACTCGGCCGGTGCTGTAACTATGCACGCTGAATAACTACCACTGATAGGGCCGGGACGTCGGCGGTCGGCCGCGCTGCTGCAGGGTCTGACAGCGATCTCCCAGCGCTGACGGCTGGTGTCGCCGCCGTGCCCCGCGTGACCGGCCGGTCGTGCCGCTGGGCGTGCGCCGCTCGTGCCGGCTGGCTTTCCGTGGGACACGGCGCAGACACCCGGCGAGGTGTGCCGACTCACACCCGAGCTCACGGTCAGATCTGGTCACCTGGCACCGCCAGCCACTCCGCCGCCCCTCAGACTATCACGGGAGTGCCCCCGGCGCCCATCCGCCACCTGCGATGACACGCGGATGGGCGGACGGACTCCTTTTTATTCCTTCTCCACCCTCCACTGGAGTGCCTCAGTGGGGCTACTGAGTCAACACCGACCGGGCAGGCCGGTGTATTGTCCCCCTCCGATCAGAAAGCCGGCGGAGAGCCGATCACGTCGGGCCGCGCCGGGGTTTTACCGGTATTTTTGTGTCCGCGTCCTGCTGCGCCGCCCCGGACCGCATCCTGACGGACGAGTTGCGTCAGGTGATCTCCGCCCGTCCGCCTCTGACAGGGTGCAGGTCAGCCGCCGGTGCTGGTGTAACCGAGCCGCGGAAATGCCGCCGAGCTCGTGCAGATGCTAATGCGGTCTTGCTTCAGGAGGGAGGGAGGGAGGAGTGTTGCGTGAGCCGGGCGCCTCTGACGTGACGTGAGCGGTGTCTCGGGGTAGTAGTGTGCGTGCCGTGCGCGCTGGGTGCAGGTAAATGGTGAGCGCCCGCCGATGGGACGGGGCCGGCGCGTGGTGACGTGCCACCGTGTGATGCGCATGTCGTCATGGCCACGTGTCAGAGTGGGGGAGGGGATGCGAGCACGTGACGTGACTAGAGGAAGAAGAGGCCCTCACCGAGGCATAACCTCCCCGGTGTTGAGCGCCCTCCACAGCACCCCGCAATTTGAAAGTCAGACCAGCGATCACCGAACGTGGCGAGAATCGGGTGGATGTTCTCGGAACGTCTCGCCCCTCGCGTCGTCGGCGCCCGTGTGCGACGCTCGAACACGTGAGGTCGTTCCGGTCGGACGGGGCACCCCTGGCGCACGGAGCGAGTATCGGTGTGATTTCAGGGACAGGACGACATCCGTGTGCAGCCTCGGGGGCCGGTCAGCGCGCGGACCGCACATACCCGATGCAAATGCCGGCTCCTGACGGCCTTGACTGGTTTGACCGAATGCAACGCAGATTGGGCTCGCATGGGTTTACCAGTCGCCTTGGGATGCCGACAGTGAATTAGCAGTCGCGTGTTCGACTGCGCCGCGAGCTGCGCTCGGCGCCTTTATGTCCTGTTGGAGTGTTGTGTTGACGTCTGTCACGGCTGAGCTGAGCACGACGGCGTCCGGTAGCGGCGATTGACCAGGGCCGTTCCTGCCATTCGAGACGGCCTAAGCGCCCGCAGCAGTCAGTCGGAATGACCCGAGACACACGTAACGGCCTTGGTGACGTGACCTCTCGCAAAAGGCTAAAAAAGTGGCCGGTTGACCTGCTGCTGGAACCGGACTTACTGCCGTTTTCCTACGAATGCGATGGAAGGAAAATATTTGGCATCGACGGCTTGGCAGCGGATAGAGTGATTTATTACCGATAACAGTTACAAGAGGGAATTTGTATTCAGCGCTTTATATGCTCGGAGTGTCCCCTAATGGTAGCGATTTCCAAGATACAAGTCATCACTTGAATGCATAAGCAAATAGTTGGGATGTTATGGCGCACATACATGGCACACAATAAATGGCGCACATGCTTTTAACAAAGACAGGTTGTTGGTGAAACATGTATGCGCAACATTTCGATTTCAGTGACCTCGTCCTTACTATCGGCAGTTCCGCGGAAATATATTGGTTAGCCTTCAGTGCCTTCTCTGTTTAGAATGTGCATCGTGTACTAGTACGTATACGAGTATTTTGTGCTATCGATGCCCTTAAAGGTACGTTACCACTGCACTGCCTAAATGTAGTGCATGTTTTCGTGTTTTTGTGAGACCGTTATCATTACTGACATGTCTATGTCCAGCTTGAGGTGCTGACATTTACCTCTGTCATGTTTCTGTCGAATCTTGGACTGGTCGTGACCCGCCGCAAATGTGCGATCCGTCGGTGCGAAGCTTTGCACCGGCCGTAAGCACCGCTGTGTGAACGATGGGTTAGCATTGGATCTTCAACGACGGCGACTCGTCTGCGCTGACGGCGGCGGTGTCCCTGTCACGGCCCGTGGCCGCGTTACGTCAGCTGGAGGACAGAGCTGGGACCTCGGTCGGTCGGCCGCGCTCCACCGCCCCTGTCGGCCCGGCGCGGAGGGCGGCGGAGGGCGGCGACAGATCTGCGCCTATCTCGGCCCGCCGTCAGTGCCATGGGGCGTCCGTGCCATTGTGTTTTGGTCAGCGCGGCGGCGGCGAGGTCGGCTGGCAGCCGGACCGTGACGGCCGGCGGGGGTCGGCCCCCGGCCCGGCCGCCTGCAGGGGGCATTTCCATACCTGTGCCCGGCGCCGTGCCGTCGGACGGGTCAAGGCTCCGGGATGGGTGTAGGATGCGGAGTGTCAGTGACTCGGGGCTCGGTACCAGGAGTGGTCGGATTCACGAACGGAATGCTGCGACCTGTGACGATGTTCAAGATCAGGTTAGATGCTACTCATGCTGACTGATCTGAGAACGGCAGGTGGTTGAGATTATTTTCACTGCCAACTGGATCATATCTACTTGAGTAAAACAAACAAAGACAGTGGTTTAAGCTGTCCCGAGAACGGGAGCAATCGGCTTGTGGCTGGATTTTCTGCCCGTTCAGTAATTGTTCGCGTAACGCCGGGTCCGCCGGATGCGGGCCCGCCGCGTTTGACGTTACCAACGCGGTAAAATGCTGCTCGGGGGCGCAATTTGCCAATTACCCTGTCGTAGAAACGATTTCTTCGGCAACCGTGTGGGCGTCTTCGGAAGTGTTTCTGGTGAGACGGTGACACATTACGACAGCAGCCGATTGTTCAGTGGCGCCTTCAAACGTCTATTACGTCAGAGAACTCTAATCATCCGTATTGCTTCCGTCTCGCTACAGGATGGAGTTTTCTTACGCATTTGTCTACCACGGTCCAACTAAGACAATATTTTATTCAACATCCATGGTTGCTGCAATGCATATTGTTTCTGTTCTGGTTTTTCCCTTGCTTTGTATAGTGCTTATGCCCTGTGCAGTGTGCACTGTGCAGGCATATTGTTACAACTTACAACTCATGGCGGAAGCTGCGAATTAACCGTATGCCTAAATGCTCTCCAACCGTTGCAAACAGCCGCCTGTGAAGTATGAATCCATAAATTGTGACCGCATATGACACGGCCGTCACGGGGCCGGGCCCGCGGTGTCACGGGTCGTTCCGTGCTGCCTGCCGTGCCCCGGTGGCGCCCCTGAGCCGTGTCGGTGGTTGGAGCTCGGCTCGACCCTGGTGGGGTGGTGACCGCGGCTGGCGGCCTCGGCAACAGCCACCCCCGGGCCCAGGGGTGAATAGTGAATACAGGGGCGGACACTCGGGCATCCCCGGACCGGAGCTGAGCACGGGGGCGGGCGCTGAACGGGTGCAGACTGCAGACCAGCGGCGGTGTCTGTTTGTGAGTTGTGACCGTCTGACAGCCCGTCCGGGTACTCAAGTTGCTAGTGTGCTCCTGTCCGACTCAACAGTGACTGGGTGTCCACTGTCCCTCGTGACCGGCTGGGCGGTCGGCCGTGAATTGCCTCTCCCTGTCTTCTGTGTGGGTGGGGGCTCACCCCGGTCCCACTCTGACCCGGGGCGGGCCCGTCAGCTCTCTCCCCGCCCACTCACGCACCAGCTCTCCGCCGAGAGGAAGTCGTGCACCGGCACAGGTGTGCAGCCGGATTTCGAACCGACCGCCACGGTCTCATGACTGATCGGTCCGCTCTCCCCTTTTTGTCGTGACTCCGGACCGATATTGTTTATCATTGTCGGAATCATGGTATTCGGAGGTACCGAGTCGAGAAGTCTGGAGCCATGTCTAGATCACTCTGGTCTGTAAACTCATTGTATCACATTACAGTACTGCATGTTGTTCCGTGGTATTGCTTAGAATCTTAGTGTTCTGGTCAGCTGATATCGATATTGGGAGTTTGGTCTAATTATCTGAAGCTGGCATTTGGCTTATGCTGTTATATCACAGTACGTGGTAGTGATTCCGGTATCAGGTGTAGAATCGTGATATTTTCCTTCGCAGAGCGCCGCCAGCGATCTCGGCTCTGCGTGTAGAGGCATTACTGAGCTGATCGGCAGCGCCCCACTGGCGCCAGACCGGGCGCGGCCAGGTCCCGTTCCCGGAATGTCTCGCAGAGTTTTGCCGCCTTAATCTCTGCAGCAGCGTGTGAAAAACGCCTCTCCGCCATTGACGGTGCCTCAGACGGCAGTAGTCTCCATCATTGGCTCTTTTGTGGTTTGATTGGATCATTTTTTGCGTGCCTTTGTCAACTGTCAAGATCGCTTTTTCATTGCGGCGGCAGATAATGTAATTCACTGCAGACTGGCACACTGAGTGCTGGTTGGTTGGGAAGCTATCACAGGGAACCGTGCACATTGGGCTAGGCCCTGTAACCTCTGAATAAAGTCATGTTTATAAGAGAAGTTGGAAAGGCCTGCATCCACGGACTGTTCGGTGCTTTAATATTTTGTCGATAACCATCCACTAGGTATTTTGCCTGGCGCACTTTGGCTACCAGACTCAGATGCCTGGCTTGACATCATTCCAAAACGTTTTGCAAAAGTCCGTAATGAATTGCCGTTCGTCGAAACACCAGTGTCCTTGCAGTTGTCGATCAGCCTAAGAACCAGGTCAATGGCAGCCAGGATCTTCCGAGGACCGGTTGCCTGGGAGGAGTGCTTCCTGTTTGGCGTGTTCGAAACGTTGTCTGACGGCCTTGGCGCACTGGCACATGGCGTCTCACATGGCTGCCAATCAGCAGCACCCATGTATCTTGCAAGGTGATCGAATATTGTGGCTGGCTTCCGCGCCGGAGCTTGGACGACAGCGCCATCTCTACGGGCCGACGTGAGGCTGGAGTTCGGAACATGGAGTGCTCCAGGCTAGGTGGCAGCATATTGGGTGGGGACGAATGAGTTGTCAGGGTCAGGTGCTAGCCTGTATATGCTTCTGTTTTTTTTGTGTTTTTTTTTTTTTTTTTTTGACTGGCTGGTAAATCTTGATAATTCATTTGCCTGAACATGATTAAACGGACAAAATGTCGTGAATAGAAGACGCTACTGTTCTTCCAGGACAAGACTACACTGAAGTACCTAGGTACTTACACAAGATTTATCCGTCCTACCCTCTATCATATCCCTCGCCCGCACATGGGGGGGGGTGGTTGCCACCCCCCCCCCCCAGGCAGTCTTTCTGCTCTGCACTCAACATTTTTAGAGCTAGAACGCTGATTTTTCGTATAGCTGCTCGTCTATCCTTTTTTGATGTCCACTGAAAATTTCAAGTTTCTGTGATTTTTGGTTTCGGAGATATGACCTTGTTTTTCAGGTCATGTCATGACCCAAATGGCCAATTCTCAACATCTTGCGTTTGCCATGGGCCTTGTGAGCTTTTGACACCCTGATTTCGGCCTTTTTTGCCAGTCTTACCTCCCACCTATCATGGAACATGTTGTTCGACGATGTACAGGGGTCAAGGTCAGGGTCAAGGTCAACCTAGGTCATCTAAGATAATTGCGTTTTAGGCAAGCTGAATTTACTTTTTGTGAAGTTTTTTGACTGCATTTTTGGTAAAAGCTTCTCAGATCATGATTTCATGTGATATGGACCCAAAAACAATCGGTGCACACATCAGTATACACACAGACACACACAGACATACAAACACATATAATTGACCTTGACCTAACTTGACCTGAAATGACCTCAGCAGCAAAATTCTGGTCGGATAGTGTGACAAAGAGGTTCTAGCTGGCTTGGCACCAGAAAACAGCATCGTCATCGGTATTTGATAAGCAGCGCACTTGATATCCAACGGTGACCCAAAACAGCAACATTTTTTAGTTTGACCTGACCTGGAAGGTCAATGACTGACCTGAGAAGGTAAAACTGGGTATCATTGGATTCGTCTTTTCCCAAAGAATCTTTTTGGTCTTTACTGCTAAGCTCTATCTCCAACAGGAACGAAATGGCGCGGGGGTGGCAACCACCCCCCCCCCCCCCATGTGCGTTCTAGGATGGGAAAATGGCATGTGCGGGCGAGGGATATAGCTCTGTAGGCATCTTATTAGACCGAAAAGGTCTGTTCCCATCAACAACAGAAATGTGAAGCAGTACACACGTTACACACCTGGTAGCATCTAATCATCAAACGCAAATGTTTTAAAGAAGGTGTAAGTAAGTTCTAAAATTGGGTGTCAATATCAAATATCTGATAGCATGAAGCATCTGCCACCAAAATTGGAAACCTTGCGTGATGGGTCGACCTTTGATGGACCCGTTATATATCTGGTGTTTTCTGAAACATATTACAGAGCTGTTAATATCGTTACTATAATGAGCTGCATGACTTACATAAGTGGGCTAAAGGTGAGGTAATGGCTTTATTTGGCATTGCTGTCTCTTGGCTGGTACTTTTACTCATACGTTCGACCTCTGACTCACCCTAGACTTAATCGTCACCCGGCCGTCTCTATGCTGGCTTCTGTTCACCAAGTAAACGAGACACAGACGGAGAGTGTCACTGTTGGAAACAGACCCCTAGATCCCTGATCGTCCCCTGACCCCCGTCCCTGCTCTGTCCATCCAGTAAAACAGACAGAGTTAGATGGAGAGGGTCATCGGTGGGAACAGACCCCTAGATCTCCGACCGTCCCCTGAACACCGCCTTTGCCCCGTCCTCCAGGCGGACCAGATGGTGTGATGATCGGTAGAGACTTATCCCTGGATCTCCGACCGTCCCCTGACCCCCGCCCTCGCTCCGTCCCTCAGGTGAGGTAATGGCTTTATTTGGCCCCACCACTCCCAGATGGAGTGGTGGTTGCGGCTGGTGGAGAATGGTTCCGTCCCCTGACCCCTGTCCCCGCTCCGTCCCGCAGGTGAACCAGATGGAGTGGTGGTCGCGGCTGGTGGAGACGGACCCCGAGATCAACACGCGCAAGGTGCAGCCCGAGTCGTCCAAGCTGTCCGACCTGGACGGCGAGACGCGCGGCATGGTCGAGAAGATGATGTACGACCAGCGGCAGAAGGAGATGGGACTGCCCACCAGCGACGACCAAAAGAAACAGGAGGTCATGAAAAAGTGAGTCGGGAGACAGAGACAGAGGGGCTGGGTTGGATACGGGATTTTCTGGCACGTTGGTTACCGAAGTCTTTGGGTAACGTCACGATTACATTGTATCTGGGCCCTGGGGCACCCTCAGCTATGCTAGTTATTTTGCTTCATTATTCTTTCTCCGCCAACCTGTAGCTTAACTTCTAATTTTGTAAGCTTCGGTCTTCTAATCCGACCCTTTCCCCTGTACCCCAATACTCCTTGGGCCCTCCTTTTCGCAAATTGGTCCCCCACTATACCAAATCACTAAAAGCTGTCTTTTCGTACACGTTTACGTTCTGTTCCCATCGCCTGTACTTAAATGCTAGCCGTTTCCCTATTCATTGCCATATGTCATCCCATTCACGAAGCAATGCCGGTCCTTTCCCTCTCGCTGAGATGCTGTCATAAAGCTATCAGTGCTCTATACTGGCCGGGAATGCTCGTCACATTAGCAACCGGAAACATGACGCAATCCGATCGGAATATTCCATTGGAAATCTCCGACCATTGTCCGCATCGTAACTGGAAATGGCCGGCCGGCCAATGGGACCCGATAATGTGTTGTTCTTTGTGCTTCAATTCCATTATTTGAAGTGCTGAACGTCATGCGCCGCGAAGTCATTTGTTTCCCGCTGGCTGTAAAATTGTTGGAATTCGACGGTGATTTGTCGACTTGTCGGGGAGCTTAGATATGTGAACTGGTGTCGAATGGGTTGAATCTGTTGGCGATTTATTGTAAGCTGTCTGGCGTTTGTCGGCTTTCCAGGGACTGACAAAGATTTGCCTAAGCGTCAGAAATAGTCTGTGATTTCCAGGTCTGGGATGTGTGAATATGTCGGGAGGCTGGCCTACCGAAATGCGATAAATGTCGAAGGGATCGGTGCCTCTGAGGCTTGTTGGGATGTCGGTGTGTGCCAATGTTCTGTTGGGACGATGGGTGTCTGTCAGAGTTTTGTCGAGAAGATGCGACAGAGGTGTATGGACCCGGCCTAAAAGCAAGGAAGATGGGCCTACCTTAGAGCAGGGAAGATGGCCGACCCGAAAGCTGGGAACATCTGCCAGCTCGATAGCGGGGGAGATGGAGCAGCTCGGTCACGGCATGGCTGCATGCATCAGAGGACAAACTTTTCAATGGGCGCAGGCTCCGGCCGACCGCCGATCGCTCGATATCCGGCCACCCCAGACCGCCAACGCGACGTGGGGCCTCAGTGTGCGGGGAGGATTTTAGCGATATTTTAATATAATTCGGTAGGTATGTAGACTCAAGTCGTGGTATGTGTTGAACTGACTGCTGCGTAAAATTCAGGTTATTGGAAACACCTCCTACCCGAACCCGGACTACGGTTTAGCGCCGCCTACTACGGCGCGATCTAGGGCGGACATAGCCGGTATCTCGTGTGACTGGGAATGCTGGCGACTGCGCCGCTGTGCGGCACTTCAGGATTGATTTGCGATCTTTTTCGCTGCACCGCCCGCTCTCCATGCCGTCGTTTCCGGTGCCTCTCGCCGTGCTCGTTGTTATACCCCATAAAATCGTCCCAGAGCGCCGTCCGAATCTGTCCGCGGCCGTGTCATCTGTATATTTTCTGTCGGCCTCCTGTGGCTGTCCCCGGTGACCGGCCGTGACCGTCCGGCGGCTGAAACGTCGGGCCTGTCTGACTTCGATACAGCGCGATCGCTCATGCTATTGAAAGCTGCGCTCCGTTCCTTAGTGAAACAGATCGGCGACGGGCGGCGGCCGCGCCGGGACGCCGCCGTAAGCGATGTCGGGTCCGGCGGCCGACGGCGCGCCGCGAGCCAGCTCGTTTGCCAGCCCGATGGCGGTCGTATAAATCTGAAATGGCAGCGTGACTCTATACCGGCCGACTGCGGTACGACTGGCCCATGGGCCTCAGACGGCACCGGAATGGAAACCGATCCTGTCGACAGGCTGGTGTTTTTATAGTTGACCTTTTGGTGTACTGTTTTCAAGGTCTTGTGTTTAGACTGGTGTTTCATTTTCTTGCATGGTTCTCGTCTCTCTTGCTTGTTGTATATGACAACCGATTGAACACTGAATCATTGCAAGCTCATTGTTTGAATCAATAAGCAATTGCATCTTACAGTAAGAATAAGGCGATGGACCTCATCTCATCGTGACCTCCTTGCTTAGAATAGCCTGTATTTTCATTATTTGGCTACTCAGATTTACAATCCTAACTTATGTTTCAACTCGGGACCGGCGAACGTCTGCGCGCCGGGAGAGCCGGCTCATTTTTATCTAGGGCTTTTGAAAAAGGCAAGCGTACTCTTGTTTTAAGGCCCATAATTAGAAATACCATGCTCAGAAGCTTTCTAGCAAGCTCCTTTATTTCGGTTACCAGGTTCGCCTTATTGAGTCAGGTTCAAAGTAAAAGCCGTCTGATGCGCCTGATACAGGTATGCAGTACTCTGGCTCGGGGGCGGGTTTGTTCTGTGAAGAGCGGCGTTGCTGTGCCGCGCAACTAAAATCGGACTGTCTGAATGGTACCGGATGGGATGGTACTGTTCCTGACAGATCCCGTCACCCAGCGTTGGTAGAGCGACCTGACAAGGCGAACCCGCCCGCTGGGTGTTTGTACGGTACGAACGGGCCTCGTGTAACGATCGCGCCAGGTAGTAAAGATAACCGCACCGGACGGGTATGCTAACGACCTTAAAAAGCTCGCACACACAAGACAAACATGATCAAAAATGAATAACGTGATGCGTTTTATGTCGATTAGTGAACAATCAACTCAAATTTCACTATTACTGCGATGATACTGATACAAGATGAGTACGTTATCGAGCGTCGCAAAGAAACACGATCAACAAGCGCTTCTGTTCAACCCTGTGAATGTGATGAACCGTTTTTGAAAGTCAATCTGCAGTAAGGCTAACTCGTATTTTCAGTGCCTGCTCGCTAATCTACCCACTTATTATCATAATTTCCTGCGCTTGTTTGGCGCTGCTGCGGTGCGAATTCGTCAATACTGCCCTAGCAGCCAGCTACCCCGTGCATTTCTGTGCTGCCGGTAGCTGCATGATAGGCAAATTCGGGAACTGTTGACGCTACTCTGAGTTCTGACACTCCTTGCAATCTATAGATCTGGTTCGTATGGTGACTTATTTCTTCACGACATAAGTCGCCTCTTCATTCCTGAAGATAAGAACATATATTTCTTATGCATACGCACAGACTTCCTTTGAAGAGAGAAGTTTGTGGTGCTTGCAATTATTTTCACTTCATAGAATACTGTAGCGCAGTCATGCCTCTTCACCCACTGTTTTGTCTGGCATGTATCTATCTGGACAATGTCGGGCCGAATCAATCGCGGCGGTGACGCTCGGTCTGTAGGCCCGCTTTAATTCAGTTTGTCGCCCGATGCATTTCAATTCGTGCCGGCCATTAGCGCCGCCCTGTCTGAGTGCCATCGGCGGGCGCGGCGGGGCGGTCTGTCGCGGCGGCTCTGAACCGAATCCGGGGACGTGGGGAGGGTTTGGTGGCGCCTCGCTGTTTGTGTTTTGGTGCGGAATGTGGGGCTGGCTGTGTTTGTTTATGACGCTGTGGGAGTGTCTCGTTTGATATGTTGTGGCTTGTCTCGTGTGATATTGTGTGTGAATGGTTGGGCGGTATAACATGACTACAGTGTTGGGATGTTCCGTGTTTGAGATGATATAACTGAGCTGGCGTGCTGTGTTTTGCGGTCACAATCGAACGCGGCGCGGCGCTTTGATGATCGCGACTTCATGTGTGGCCCCCCCCCCCCCGTCGGTCTCTTGTCTCCGACCCGTGTCTGTCGAGAGGCCGCTTCTCTGTCGACGCCGGCGGCTCACTGAGGCGACACGCCGGCCGGCGAGCACACACAGACGCGCAGACACACGCTCGGCTGACAGTTTGACAGTTGGGTGGAGGCGTCAGACCGCGCCGTGGCCGCCCGTCAAACTTGCGCCGCCGCCCGATCGGGCTGAACAGAGGCCGGCGGCGACGGGACGGGACAGTACCGGGTCGCTGGCCCTCCCCGGGAGGTGGCAGACGGCCGAGCTGTGAACAGTTGGTCTAACGCCCGCGGAGCTCATTGTGGCTCACCAGCTCTGTGCCGGCTGCTCCTGCTCCTGCCCATGTTAGTTATGAGCGGGTAGCAGCAACAGCAGTTATCGTTAGACTAAAGTAGATGTGTTTCATTCACAAGCTTGTGTGCTGTCGAGGACTACATTTGTGTTACTGCTACCTGTCCACTGCATGCCTTGTAATTGTTCCCATGAATTACTGCCGCTATTTTGACCTTTGGGTAAAGCTCAGGCTGGAGCCAGACACCAGATTTCATAACATTGACGTCATGTAAGCCACTTGGAATTTTACCATCATTTGCTTGATATGTGTCTTGCGACATTGCCGCTTATTTCACAAGTTTGACTGTGCAATCGGGAAATGAGCAAGTTGCTCTTCAGTCTTTCCTCTTCTGGATGTTAAGTCTCCTTTCATTCCACTAAGGATATGCTGTTTTTTTTTTCATTTTTATTTCTTGTGAATTTGATCATGCGCCTAACTTCAACGATATTTCTATCTTCTAAACCACACTCAGTAACACATGGTCTTCACCATTCAGTTGTAAATACGAGTGAATGTGTCGTTGAATTATGATCATGGTGATGAATTATGAAACACAGTTTTCATGACTGTTTGTCGTATATCAACATTAGAAATTTACTTAATTAAGCAATTTGCTCAAATGAGTTGCAATTCACAAACATTAAAAGAAAAAATGTAGGAGCTCTCCTCTGTATCATGGATCTGGGCTGGACCATTCCTTTGGTGCTCTGTTCCACACGGTGGCAGCTCCCGCTATCACCGCCATCGCGATCGGTGGAGGTACTCGGTCGCGGCGTCGAGTGGCACGCGTCCCTCCCGGCCGGTTCAGCGCGCTCTCCACGGAATGCGATCGGCCGTGCCAGCGGAGATTGGCGGCCACGCGCCGCGCTGCCGCCAGTATGCCGCCGTATGACTGCGCTATCGGCCCGGACGTTGCTCCTTCCAGTCCGCTGCCTCACCTGTATTAGCCACTCTCGAACACCGATCGACACCTGTGTGTATGCGTGTGTGCGCGTAATGAAATCGACGCTTCCGAAACATTTCAGGCGTTTTATTGGCGAGCATTGTGCTGGATTGTGCTGGATTGTTTGATTGATGTTCATACCGGTCGCAGTCATCCTTTGGTGTTGCAATGCCTATCTCTGTCGGATGGATACAGGAGGATGCGCCGACTGTGGGCGGACAGCATCTTTGTCCCCCGGCATCTGCAACTCCCTGTGCTGTCGAGCTGAATGAGCGCCATTGCAGGCCGGGCTGGTCGGAAACTCGGGGCTGTGACGGCTGGTATGACTGAGAGGGGTCGGTCGGCTGATGTAATCGATGGGTTGGGACGGAGGGGTCCGGTGGGACTCTGAGAGCGGCAGCCCGGTTCACGGGCCGGTCAGTTGGGGTGGCTGGTGCGAGCGGGCCGCCGCGGTTTGGGCGGAGGCCCGGCCTATCGATCACCTCTGGAGACCGCCTCTGTGGCCCACACCGACCCGAGTTACTCCGCTACAAAGTGGGGCCGGCCGGCACGCAGCCCGTCCCTTCCGTGGCCGCGGCGCCAAATGCACCGTGACGGCAGTGGATTCGGTCTGCAGCCGCTGTCAATTTGTCGGCCGAGCCGCCGGCGCTCCCCGTGGCGAGTCTGACGGCGGATGACACGGCGGATCCACTGCGGATTGGCGAACAGAATTGGTCCGTGGGTGGGCGATTAAATTACATCGGCAATCTGCTGGGAGCTATCGCGGGTGGGACACAGGTGCGTCCGTGGTTATACAGACGAGCAGGTGGAACTGAGTGGACATGGAATCATGCGACGACTGGTGTTTTGGTATAGCTGACGAGCGTGATTGCAAGTTGAGCACGTGTTCTGCAGTGATCTGACGTTTTGCGTTTTTGTCGTGCAGGTTCATGGCCCAGCATCCCGAGATGGACTTCTCCAAATGCAAGTTCAACTAGGGCGGGACGGAACCGTCGAGCTGCAGCTGCCTGAGCACGAGCGTGAAGACGCAGACACCTCGAACTGTGTGATGACTCACGTGTTCAGTTTCCAGTTACGCGCACATTGTGATTTTATATTTTGTCATTGCTCATTGCAATATACGATTCCACATGTACCTATTATTGGGTTTGTTTGCGTTTCGCATTCCATCTCCATGGGTAATCACTGAATTGAACTGGGAATGATTGGAAATAAATGGCGAAATAGCTTTTCTTAATAACATTTTAAGCTTAAGTTGAAGGATAAAAAGGTGACATAGCCCAGATTCGCTTCATGTGGACGGTTATTCGACTCCATTGGCCGAAGACCACATGGCTGCATCTCTACCAACGGCAAATGACGATGGCCGCGCTGGCTCGCATCGATCGATGTTTTCACAACTGAACGAACAAGGAGAGCGAATGCGAATGTGCAATTGAACCGAATTCTTCAGAAAATTTTTATTGTAAAATGGACACTGTGAAAGATGGTCGAGACCACAAATTGAAGTTATATCAGTAGATAGATGGTGAAAAGTGCATGGTTCTGTGCACTGTATCTATGGCTGGACTAATTTGACTTTCGGTTAAAAGATATCAACATTACGGCGCAGATGACGTAGAGAAGCCTATGTGCCCTGTTGCCCGGCATTTTTCGTCGGGGGACTTTGGATATGATCAGCTGGCACCCAGAGCACTACCTTACTCTTCAATGCCTCCGATTGTCTTGGTCGTCCCAGTGAATTTATCTTCCATTTATGTATGCATTCAGTTGTGTTTAGCAGGCTGGCAGCAAAGTAGCCGTCTGCCTCATCTTTCCTTCCCGACATTATTGTTCCATGGATCCCACAGGTTATCACATTATATGAACGGACGCTGGAGCCTGGAGGAAAGAACCAGGCGAAGAGCTCAATTCCACATTGCTCGCATTGCTGTTACTGGATCAGCCACCGCAAAGGCACGCACCATTACTACATTCACCTTTATTGTAAAGGTACCGGGTGCGCTAATCGCTGTCCCTGTCATGACGCCAACTTCGTAAGTGCACTGGAGCTGGAGCTGCAACGACCAGGCTTCAGATATCTTTATCGTACAGCTTTTGACAACCCACTTGCCTTCGTATCGCCGGACCCGAGCGTATCGTCGGCTGACGGGCTGGCGCTGAGAACGCCTGGTAGGGTATACTGTACCGCAGTGCCGGCTGGCGCACCGGGCGGACTCAGACTCTGGGAACGCCTGGTAGGGTATACTGTGCCGCAATGCCGGCAGGCTGACTGGCGCTGAGTACGCCCGGTAGGGTATACTGTGCCGCAGTGCCGGCTGGCGCGGCGGGCAGACTCTGGGAACGCCTGGTGGGGTATACTGCACCGCAATGCCGGCAGGCTGACTGGCGCTGAGAACGCCTGGTAGGGTATACTGTACCGCAATGCTGGCAGGCTGGCTGGCGTGTAGAACGCCTGGTAGGGTATACTGTGCCACAGTGCCGGCTGGCGCGGCGGGCGGACTCAGACTCTGGGAACGCCTGGTAGGGTATACTGTGCCGCAATGCCGACATGCTGGCTGGCGCTGAGAACGCCTGGTAAGGTATACTGTACCGCAATGCCGGCGGGCTGGCTGGCCTTGATACGGACTGAGAACGCCTGTGAGGGCATATGCTAATGCTCTAACGCATTGTCGGTGGGCCGAACTGGCTTGATCTCTATGTACACGTATGAGAAAGTGCACTGTGCTGCACTGTCTGCCAGCGCGGCGAGCCTACCTACAGGTGGACGCGGCTGACTAACTCCGCTGAGAGCTGTACCGGCCTTATTCCGGATACTCGGGATTTCCTTGTCACATTTCGCTGCTCCCGTGTAGTCACAATGTTTTAGTGTTAACGCTAATTGTATGCATATTGCATAATGTGCATATAAGATATGTGCTATTACTTGCCAATGTATAAAACGTTGAAATCCGTAAAGAGCCTGTATTAGTGTTCTTACAGCTGACGTTCAAGTTGTGTTCAAATGGGGCGTTGATACAAAGCACTAGCGCTGATGATTTAGAGCAATGCTCTAATGGCAATTGTCTCCCAGCGACTGACTCGGATGCGAATCACTCGCTCCAATGTCTCGCACGTTAAATGAACATTTCCGGTCATCAGATAGTTCCCTACTAGTCATAATTCATATCCCCACTCCCATCAAAAGCAAGCACATGATCTGATGGTGAATGGTGAATGGTAGTCTTCATTGACTGATTCTTTAGCTGACAATGGTTCAGCTCCTCTGAATACTGAAGCATCGAAAGATCGTCTATTTTTAAACTCCCTGAATGAGGGAGCGTATGCGATCAAACGGTTTATTTCACCCATTTCGTTCTATTTGATAGACTCAGTGTCTCTTTTTAGCACTCATTGTGAAGAAGAACTGGTATTTCGTGTGTCTGAACCGTCTGCCCGAGGGTGATGGCTTCCAAATCGATTCCTGTTTGTTTTTATCGTACATAAACTATGTGAATTGAGCTTTTCACTGACATTGGTCTATTCAATGGCCGTCATCTAAGCAGCGGCTGTTCTCTGGTTGTGCTGCCGACACACGACATTTTGGGGTTCCTGATTTACAGTGATGCCCACGATCCCAAGAGCAATATGATGCCTAAACTCACTGCAGGCTCGGCTGGTTTATCCCTTCGTTTGTGCTGAAGGCAATTATCGACCATTTTTGACAGAGTTTAGAATAAGTGCCGTTTAGCTTATCTTATGTGGTCGAACAGCTTCCTTACGACGTTACTGTTGTTTGATCCCATTAGTAATCAGAGCTATCAATTTATTCAAAACATCTAATGATTATCCAAATATTTGCGTGCCCTGCATTTAATGAGAAATCGATTTTGTTATTGCGAACTGTATTTTTCCTTTTTTCTTTTCTTTTTGTCAATACAAGGATGTTACATCCCTGACAAATGAATAACCCGGGGACAGCAAGCAAGCATATACGTCTCCAAAGAGCGAAGTTGAAATCACTTATGTCAAGCTTGCATGTTTTGAATAACAAAGAAGCACTTAATATCATGTGTGAGCGTTTTAAAAACGATAACTCCTTACGTCCTTTGCACGGTCGCATTATGTTTTATTTGGCTGGTGTGTCGGCGGGGCGGCGGCTGTTTTGCTCTCCTCTCGCCGAGCCATTTGATGGCGGGACAGGTGATTTGTACCGGTTAGCGGCCGCCTCTCAGACGCCCGCGGCTGGTTTTTGTCCGAGACTGGTGGTGTGGCTCCGAGAGGATGGTTTGTGCGTGTCCTGAGAGGAAAACACCCTAACGGCCTGCGCCGCTGGGCCCGCCCCTCATCGATAGCGCAGAGCACCTATTGCTCATGTGTGACTCTTCATTAAAGGCATAAAAGCCGGCCGATGTTGCTTGCGACGCTTTTGGTGGAAGTTATGTGGATCGGTTTTGGTTGCTAGCTTATAATGATAGTCGCGTGCCTGTCACGTCGGCGGGGAAACCCTAAGGCGGCATCTGCATTCCGTGAGTTGATTGGGACTGGGACACGGAAAATGGACGTGCATGCCGGCTATCCGAGGCGTAGATGAAGTGCACAAATATCCCTCTACTTGGTATCGATTGCTGCGTTGGAAGATGGTCGCTCGTTCGCTGTGACTTACGAGTACGTTGGCAGTGGCACCTTGTACCGCCAATGAACGGCTCTGTATCGACTGTGTGGCTATGTAAATGCATTGGACACGTGCATTGTGGGCATTTGTCTCTTCGGCAGTGACAACGAAGGCGTCACTTGCTAATGAGTAGACGGCGTTACTGCTTTCCAAGATGATTGCCTCCTACTTTCGCAATGGTGCAGTGCAGTTACTGGTGAATTCTCGTTGCAGACCAGCTCGCCGCCCATTATGGTGCACCGCTGTGTTTGCCTACTTTCATATTTACTTGGAGTTCAAATGGAGCGAAGATACATGGTCGATCCTTCCCAGCGAGGGAACTATATCCTTCCACGGAATTATTTGATTATTGGCATTGTCATAGATGGTATTGGAAATGCGGAAAATATTCCTGTTCCGGGTTCGAAGGCTGCTTCCAATGCTACTGTCGCTCGACCATGTGACTTGTGAGATGTCGCCGCTATAGTCGCGAGGAAGCAAAGCGCCATCGTTACCCGTAGTCAAGATGACTCGGATGATCTAAATCAATGAGCATCGATTCTTTATAAAATGAAAACAACTAAAAACTAAAAGTAAATATATTTGACAAAACTATGTGTCCAATGTCTTCAACGCCCGTCCGTTGAAGCCTTGTTAAAACATATCTTTCGCGCATTCATTTATTCAGCAAGACATAGGTCGTAAATCCCGGTTTATATATATTTCCCAACAATCGGAGTTGGCTATTGCACTCGTCACGTATCGGTGGTGCGCCGGCGCGGTCCGGCCGCCGGGCGCGGCGTCCCAGGAACATTGGCAGGGGGAGCCACGCCCCGCGCCGACAGGGGCCGACTCGCCACCGAGTCACCGTCCAGCCGTCTCGTTCTCGGGTGGTTCGCACATCGAGCCTCACCAGAGCCGCCCAGTTGCGTCGCAAAGCACCGCTGGCAACGTGCCAAATCTAACAGACTTTTTGCCGCCCAGTCGATTAGTGTTGTCCAGCCTCGTAGTGATTTTGATGACGGGTAACAGATCCGTCTCCAGTGTTTGGGAAGTGATTTGCATCGTTGCCAGCGGGCTGCGACTATCTGGCACGGTCACTATCTCACAACGCTCGACCTCCATCTCAATGCGAGCTCGTGTTATAAAACAAAGGCTCCTCCCATGCATGCACGATATAGCCGAGTGACAAATTATAACATCACACTCGCACCTGCACCGTCCGTTATTGGATCGAATAATGGGGGAGCTGTCTCTGCAACGGGCCTGCGGTCACAAAACACCACAGGACGGCCGCACTCTGCGCATGACGTCCACATTACGCGTACAATGAGTATTATTCGCCAATAAAAACGAAAATTACCTTATGGGTAAGTTCTTGAATGAGTTGACATGCACAATTAACATATTCGCATGGGAATAAATACTGGTCAATAATAAACAGATGCCGTTTTATGTTTATATAACAAAAACACTTCGATCGTAAGATTCATATATGTCTCGTAACAA